TTGTTAGGAGTAAATTACCTGGATTAATTACAGGCTGCAGTTACATTTAAAGAAGCACAACTGTTGACTGCATTCTTGATACGAGCCTTCTGAGCAGTGCAGACTCAGAGCTGTCCTAGGAAGGCTGTTAGTTTTGATCATTTTGAGCCTTGCCCACTCTGTAGCATTCAGTGACTTTTCCATGATGGAGAAATTGCAGTAAATGAGGTGATAACACAATGTGCTGCCTGTGGGAACCTGTGGGTGCAACAAGAACCCTGTGCTTGCTCTGTTACTCCCTTATGCAGACTAAACAGTGCATCTTACTGTGCACGTTTAAACTCCAACATATTTGTGTGTGAGTCCACACACATCCTGATAAGATATGTTTATACAATATAAAATGCCATTCTTTCCCCAACTGAACTAATCCTTCCCCAAACCTGAGTGTGCAGTGCTTGTCTAGGCAGCTGCTGATAAGCCCAAGTCTACAAGATAGATGGATGTTGGCTGATGTGTGTCTGTACCGTGGGGGGAAATACCTGGACAAGAACACTTTTGTTAGTCTAACTTAGCCTTTCACGCTGTCAGCCTGTGCAGGTTTTAACTAAATCAAACCACTTCAAAAGCAACTGTCACGGGGTGTGTCTGTTCTGACGTTGGTCTGAGCACAAACGTACCCTGACCCCTGAAAGAGCAGGAGAACTAAACCATGCGGGTGGAGGGAAGTGCCAGGTCTGCCCTTACCCTGCTCACCTTGCTGGGGTGACACAGTTGTGTTTGCCAAGTCACTCTCTTGTCAGTGAGTGTCTTTGTGGGAAAACTGCATGAGATCTGACCTGGGAAAATTAGTATCTTGAGATAAAGATGGGCCTAAAATTAATAATTTTGTGTCTCTTTTCTGGTAAGAATTATTCTAATGGTCTTCACAGAATTCAGAAACTGCAGCTTTCATAGAATTCCCAGGTTGAAGGGACCTCAAGGATCATCTGATTCAACCTTTCCAGGCACAGCATGACCTAGACTGGATATCCCAGCACACTGTCCAGCTGAACCTTAACAGTGTCCAATGCTGGGGAGTCACCACTTCTCTGGGGAGATTATTCCAGTGGCTGGTTGTTCTCACTGGGAAACCTTTTCCTCTTGTGTCCAGTTGGAATCTCTCCAGGAATAACTTGTGCCCATCATCCCTCATCTTTTCCATGTGACCACTTGTAAAAGGGAGTCTTCTTTATAGCCATCCTTTAAATGCTGGAACATGGTGGTAAGATCTCTCTGAGCCCTCGTCTCAGTTTTAGAACTGTTTCCATAAATTATGATGTTGGTGCTTTTGCCTGGAGAGCTTTTAGGATCATTCATTTGTGAGCACTGGCTGTGGGTGGTGATGGCAGTGCTTTACCAGAGCTCTTTGCTCCCGGTGATTTATGTGCTTATGTCACCCGCTAATGGCATTAGAGGAGGATGTGTCCCGCTGGGGTTTCGTTAAGAGGGTTATGTGCTGGCCAGCAGTGCCCAGGAGCTCTGCTCACTTTCACAGGTTCATGTCAGCTTCCAGGCTGAAAGGTTTAAGAACTGCTTTGAATTCCAGCTGGTGTTCCTGAAGTGAGCTGGATAACTGCCGAAGATTGGCCATGCTCTCTTTGAGTAAGCTGGTTATGTAGTCGCTGTCACAGCTGTGTGGGCAACAGTGTGTGGAGGCTCTGGATGAGCAGTTCCAGCTCAGGTGGATGCTTCCTGAGCAAGTTAACTTGTCACAATATTTTTCGCTGTAACGTTAAGACCTGTATTTCTTGTGTCCCTGGCCCTGTATTGTCTTTTCAAAGCGTATTGAGTGTGTTCTCGACCGGGAGTTGTACATCACTGATTGTGCTCAGCCTGACAGCTAGAATTATCTCCTCTTGGTGGCATGAGGAGTCCTGTGAGTTCTCTTCTGGCTGCTGGGATTTCACTGTGGAGAATATTTGGATTTAGAAAATCTTGGCAGAAGAGCTGCTGGGATTAAAGGACGTTGGGGATTGCTTTCCAGAGGCCTTCAGGTTGGGGTCCTCATTTGTCTGTCCTGTTTGGGCCCCCATAACCCCTGTATTCTCTCCTCTTGTGTCTCAGGATCACTATTAAAGCAGTGTCCTTGCTCAGAGTTCTTTGGGGGGGACACCGGGGTGGGTGGTGTCTGTGCAGTAAAACTCAGCACACTTCAGTACACTGCTTGCTCCTCTTCTGGTTGAGAGGGAAGAGATGCCTGGTAGCTTCAAGCTCAGATTCCCTAAGTATGCTGCTATATTATTGGGAAATATCTATCCTATAACCATAATAAACTCTAAACATTAACTCCACTTCTCTGGTTGTCAGCAGTGTACAGATGTGTATTTTCTGTGGCCTGTCAGAGCAGCTCTTGCTGGCAGCACCCTGTGGCTTTCACTGCCAGCCCCGGTGTGTCCTTTCACTGCTGTTGGTAGCACTAGAACATCTTGCTCTGTGAGAGCAATTAGTCTCGGTACCAAACATGCCCTGAGTGTAAATACCTCTGTTGGCTGTCACTAATGCTCTCACTGCTCTCATCTTTAAATACTAATTGTAATGATGGGTGAGGAGCAGACTTGTTTTTGAAGGCTGTAATTTAAAGAGTGTCCTAGAAATGTTGAATCTGAACTATGCTGTAGACTCAATAAACAGCTGAGAGTGGTGTTTATCTGCTGCCTGAACTGGTGCAGGTGGAGAGCATTGCAGTGCACAGGGCAGGAGGATGTAATTATATGTGATGTGGTGGTCCAAAGATAACTGCAAGATGAGAGCTGCAGGTAGGTGAAGTAGCTTGATTTCTGATCTGTTAAATACCTGGTAAGATAAGGGGTTTCAGGTTCAGAGAACAGAAGTAGATAATGGTTCATGCAACATATAGTAGAGCTGTACAGTTCCTTACCAAAGGGTGTCGAGGATGCTAAAAGCTGACTTGGACTTGAGGAAAAACTGGATAATAGAACAATTCATTCAGAAATATGGAGCATGTGGGCAGAATCCCTCCAGCCCAGGAAGTTTAAATCATTTATTGAAAGTGAGGAGAGCACTGGGAGAAGTGTTCTGTGCATGTTCTGTTGATGTTCTCTCTGAGCATGCTGGTGTGAACATGTCTCCGCATCGCTCCCGAAGGCGCTGCAGTCCCAGATGGATGCACGGAGTGCGTGCAGACACCCGGAGTATCTGCTTCATACACAGCCCTGAAACTGAGAGCACACCAGGTACAAGCTGATAGGAACAAGTACTGCTTTTGAGCTGAGCAGCATGGTGCAGGTTGGGTGCTCATTTGTCTTTGGAGACCTGGAGTTGGGAAGAATTGCTGTCAGGCTGAGCTTGGGAAAAAGATGCTCTGTGTTAACAGCAAATGGGCAGTATTGGCCTTAGCTAAGCCTCTGTGGTGTGTTGGGCAGTTCAGAACCTCCCGAGATCTGTGCTGCTGGTGTGTCTGATGATGGTCTAAATACCTAAAGGGGCTGCAAGAAAGCTGGAGAAAGGCTTTGGACTAGGGCTTGTAAGGACAGGGCAAGGGCAATGGCTTTAACCTGCCAGAGGGGAGATTGAGATGAGCTCTGAGGCAGAAGCTCTTCCCTGTGAGGGTGCTGAGGCGCTGGCACAGGGTGCCCAGAGAAGCTGTGGCTGCCCCATCCCTGGCAGTGTTCAAGGGCAGGTTGGACACAGGGGCTTGGAGCAACCTGCTCTAGTGGAAGGTGTCCCTGCCCGGGGCAGGGGTTGGAGCTGGATGAGCTTTCCAGCCCAAACCAGTCTGGGGTTGTGTTACTGGGAAAGAGGGAATTTGTGCAAATATGAATGAACGATTTTAAAAATCTTGCCTGAGAAGATCCATTTATTGGGTCACTTCCAGTCTCGTGTGTGGTGTCTCTGGCTGTGCAGCATGTTTCTCTTCTGCAGACTTAGCATGTTGCTTGTCACGCTGACCTCGTCCTCTAAATGTGGCACTGGGGAGACCTCCATTTAAATTTAAAACTTGTGAAAGCAGACTCTGCATCCTCCTCCTGTTAATCATTATGCTGTCTAGTGAATGTTTTCACAGCCTCTGCGACTCCTCTCGTAGAACATGTTGGGAGACAGACTGGCAGCAGCAGTAAGCTGAAACCGGGTTCTATTCGGATGGGTTTCAGTGCTGGAAAAGGAGAATTTCTTTTAAAGCAGAGGCATGTGTGTTTTCTAATTTAAAATCAGTTACATTTCTGTCCAAATAGGCTCATGCATTCCATCTGCTCTGCATTGTAACTGTCTGAAGTCTGATCCTGAGTCTGGTCTCGGCTTTGTGGTGCGGTGGAATAGGAAAAAATTACTCCTGCGAGTATTTCAGTCCTCCTGTGTTATTAGTGGTGCTAAGCATGACCTTTGTTCATGTCAGTGGACACTTAATTCGACTAACGTGTTTGTTATTTTAGAGTGAGTGTTTGCATGTCTGCAGATCATAACAACACTGTAGTACAGTTTCCTGCGTGCTTGTCTTGTTAGTTAACATGAAATCTCAACGCGTTACTCAGGGCATGAGCACGCGGGGAATGTATTAATAGCGATTGCTCTCTATCGCTTGGCTATCAAGTACTGCTCTATCAGAAATAGATCTGGGCTGATGAGACTGTCTACGTATTGTTTACAAGATATTTTGGATCTGGGCAACATTTACTTGTGAGTCTGAGTCACTTGAGCAGTCTGTTGCAACGCAGAAACCGAGGAGGCTCTGCCAGGGTTCTCCTGGAGCAGGCGGCTGGACCACGGAGGGCTCCACCGGCCCCTAGCCCAGGTTTCTCCAAGAGTTATGAAGTCTGAAGATGATCCTGAGGATGGGGATAACCTACCTGGGGATCCAAGTGGAGTGAAGGATGGAGCAAGATGAATTCAGGGCAGTGGAGAGAGCACGTTTCACGAAGCAGCCTGCTTGAACTCTGCCTCGGTGCTTTGTGAGCTGCCCTGGATTGTAACTTGATGCGAGATAAACTGATTGCTCCTGGCAGCGAGACGCTGTGGGTTTGATGATGACTTGTTGGTTTTCTTGTGCAGCTAAAGACACAGTAGGTATCTTGGGTTTCACGTCAGTGGCAGTAGTTTGCAATTGCAGAAATGCAAAAGCTTGAGTTTTGTAACTGTTTGACAGTCCTGTGAGGAATTTTCCTTTAATGTGAAATGTTTTGGTGACAGTATTTGATTTAGTACATCATAGGAAATGGTACAACCCACTTAAATGGTACAACCAAAGGGAAAAACATTAATATGATGATTTATTATTTAAATAATACCTTGTTCATCTGAAGATGTATGAAATGGGATCAAGGAATGGCTGGTGAAGGGTTTTCTGCAGATCCGTGTGAGTGTTTGCTGGCAGGTGTAAGCTGTGAGTGTGGAACTCAGTAATCTAAACCCAGTAGCAAACACAAAGGATGTGATCGCTTCCCTCCAAGGATGTGGAATGCATCACGTGCACAAGATTTCAGAGGTGCAGAGCCTGGTGCTTGGTATGTGCAGTTCCAAAGGTATTTAACGATAAAACCTAAACTTTGCCCAAGAAGCAGCCCGGCAGAGGAGGCTTTGGAGGCTGGGAGGGATGCTGCTTCCCTGGCACCCTGTATGAGCAGTAACATCACGGGTGCAATTCTGCATTACACCAAGCAGTCTGGCTTGGCTTTTAACCTAATGCATGTTTTCATTGATTGACAGACGGGTTCTGCACTTAGCTGGGTAACACTGGGGCTTGTAATTACATTAGTTGTCTATTTTTACTGCTTCAGGTCACTTTTAGCAAGTATTGTACTGAATAAGTGATCGCTATGGCTTCATGATTAGTGTGATCTTTCTTTATCATAATGGGGAATAGGGATAATGGTGGTTACAGCTCTGTTACATGAATCATTCTACAGGCTGGTGGTGAGTTTTTGGTGCTGCTGTTTTCTGTATCTCCTCTTTTGCCTAGCAAAGCCTGGCTCTGGTACAAGGTGAGTCCTTGTGCAGCTCTGGGCTCTGTCCGCTGAGAGCTGTCCACTTGGCATTGGCACAGTCCTTTGTGGGTCTTCCAGACTTTATTATGTTAAATACTGTAAGATGTTGGTCTCTTCTGGTAAGAAAGTCCTGAGGGAAAGATAGTTCTGTCTTGATGGAATGTCACTAGGTTTTTTTTTTTTAACATTAAACTTACACAGCTTTTTGGGTCTTTTAGTCTGTTCTTCTTGTTTTGACATGATGGCTGTGAAAACTTTTGAATAGAGGCTTTGGCACTTCAAGGAGGCAGAGGAGAGTGTTATGATGAACCCAGCATGAAGGATACAGGGTTGATGGGCTGCTTTCTCACTGCAAGAAACAAATGTGTCTTCAGCTACTCTTTGGCTTCTCTATTTTGGAAATGATTAGGTTTACCAGTTTTAATGTTCTTTCTTCAGTGAGGTGTGGAACTTGTGATCCACAGTGATAAGTAACCTCATCCACCTGCAGGTTACCTGTGTCTCACTGTTACCACTAAATTCTTTTGCTGTATAGAGTTATATTTGAATATAATATTCCTTCATAAGCCTTTTTCTTCTGTTGAAAGCTTCTTGAATATCAAGTCGTCAGTGTCCAGCTTGGCTGTGAGGTTTCTGTCACAGATCAGAATTCCTGAAGAGTATAAAGCCATTCAGAAAGGGAATTTGGCAATGAGGAGAAGCAGCTCCGTGTTTTGGGGTGGGATGCTTGGCCTGGGGCCTGAATCTCTACAGTTGAAGTAAACAAGGAGAAAGTGGGGGGTGAGGAATGTCTGAGGCTGGATGTGCAGTGGTCTATTTATAACTGACTTGTGCTTCCTTTGCACTCTACATTGCTTTTGTAATTGCAGGCAATTTAAAGCTATAAACTTTGAGTTTCTTTCTTCAACAGCTCAACTGATGTTCATCTCTTGAATAGCACACTTCTTTGGTAAATTTTGCTCACTGGAACAGTCTGACACAGTCAGGAAAAGCTGTGTCCTGTTGTGTATTTTTAGCACATCCATTTGATGTTAACATCTGAAACCTGCTTGGGACATAATGGAGCTGATTCAGATCTGCTTTTAAGACTGGCCCAGTTCAGTGAGTTGAGTTAATAAGTACCCTTCTGTGCTGATGCCATGTGTGTACCTATGGCGACTCGCAGCATTTTGGCATTCAGCTTCGTGCTGTGCAGGCTTGGGATCTGGTTTGGTACCAGATCTGAGGCATGTGAAGCACAGGGGAGTGAAGGGGTGCTCTTCCTGGCAGCATCCTGTGGGTTGGTGGGGTGGGAAGCAGCAGCAAACTGCACCCTGTGAGTGGATGGAAGCACGTTCTGGGGAAAAGCAGGTTGTGTGAATGGATAAGATGGAAACTGGGGCTCTGCTTTTTGCTTTTCTGATGTTTTCATTGATTTTAGTTAGGCGTTGGACATGAAAACCAGTGTGATTTCACTAAAGTGGAGGCTCAGCCATTCTTGATAGATGTGAACTGGTTTGGAGGGCTAAATTTAGTACATATTTCATGTCTTGCTGAATTCATGAAACCAGTCTGCTGTTGATGACACATTTCATAATGTCCTGTCTAAGTATCATACCAAGCTCACCTGTTGAGTTCTCTGTGGTACCTTCACTATACAAGGGTTGACGGGGGAAACTGTAGCAGCTGTGATTTATCTGCCTACTTCCTTATGAAATGGCTTGTAATGAACACTGAAAAGCTGAGACTGAAGATGACTGCTTGGATTGGAAGCTGTTAGCAGTACTATTTTGGGCTCTGTTACTTGCAATTACTCACTTATCTGTCCCTTTGCGGTGCATCTTGTTTATTAATTTGTAAATTTTGGGGCATGTGCAGATATTTAATAGATGGAAGTGGAAGACTTGATTGTCTTATTTAGACTATTGCAAGTCAAGTAAGTGACAATAAGGATGAACAGGAAACCTTCCTGTTTTCATTCTGTTAATGGAGTTAATTGCCTTGCTGATGTGAGAGCAGTTGATGTGCCTTCCCTGAAGGGCATGAGACAAAGAGGAGACAGCTTGTCAAATCTGTAGCTGCTGCAGAGAGAAGGAGGGGGGAGTTCTTCATGTGCAGAGTGGAGAGATTAAACTGTGATCACTAGGCATGAGGAAAGATGTTCTCTGACACAGGGAGTGAAGGACTGAAGTGCAGGTGTCCTTGGATGCTCTACCCTTCCTTCAGTGGAGCTCTTGAGAGGTAGATGAGCACCAGGCTATAGGTGATATTGCATGGGGCTCCCTCTCGGCAGGACCTCTGAAGTCCCTTCTAGCCCCAATGTGGGGTTCTTGAGATACTACAAGTTGCTCTTCTATGAATTGTATCTATGTACAAGTGCACATGGTAGCCCCTCCTGTGCTGTGTGAAGTCCTTAGTTCATCACAGCCCTAGGCAGCATGTATAGGAGAATGTATTTTCTGGTCAGAATGGAAGTATTCGTGATGAGGGGAGGGAAAGTAAAAATGCAGTGACAAGACAGCTGTCCAGGCAGCTTTATGTGGCACACGGAGGGGCTAGAAGGAGATGGCTGAAGACAGCCTAATATGAGAAACCATCTGAAAGCTTTATTTGGGAGTGAGCATAGGGAATTACTGTGTGTGGCTTTACTTTTAGTCTTATTAGACAGAACAAAGAATGAGGAAAGCCAGAGGCTTGATCCTCAAGGTCTCCTTTAGGACCAAAGTGACTTAATCAGACTGTCTTGGAGCACTGCACATCCAGTGCCACCAGACTGATTGAAATGCTACAGTGACATTATACATAAATAACTCTAAACATCTTTAACAGATACAACTCTAATTGCAAACAGATATTTTTTGTGTATCCCCCAATTGCATTTGATTCAGCCTTTTGTTGAAATCCTTGAATAGATCAATAACGTACCATAAGCTCACTTCCTTTTCTCTTCTCTTACACAGCTGAACACTGACTGGAACAAATATGATGACAGGCTAATGAAAGCAGCTGAAAGGGGAGATGTGGAAAAGGTTTCATCAATCCTGGCCAAAAAAGGAGTCAGTCCCACCAAACTGGATGTGGAAGGCAGATCTGCGTAAGTAACTCCCAGTGCTCCAGTAATGGTGCTGGGAAGCCACCGAAAGCCACTTAATACCCAAATCTTGTTGCTGCTCCAAAACCTTTTCTTTTAATACATATATCTGTGTAATACATCATGTTAGATTAGGATCTCAGCCAGATTGGAATACCAGGTAGCCAGAATGTGAAATTCTTATAAGCAATCTTCACTTCAACGTGAAGATGAGTATTTAAATACTTGCTATTGCCAGATTTTAATATTATGAGACATGGAAAGCATATTGGGTTTTCTTCTGGTTCTCTGATTCAGTGATTACTTCTCAGGAAGCTATCTTGTTGCTTAAAGTAGGAACTGCAAGTAGTATCTGCAAGACTCTTGTCTGGATTTGGATGCTGTCCAGAGCTGGGTTTGCACTGTGTAATGCTTTCGTTATACAGCTTCGGCTTCCCTGGTTAATATTACCGTTTTTGTGTATAAAGCAGATGGGTTTCAGCAAGGTATTTTCTATTTGCAGATTCCATGTTGTAGCATCAAAGGGCAACCTGGATTGCTTGAACACTATCCTTGTTCATGGAGTTGATATCACAGCCACGGATGCTGCAGGTAGGCTTCCTCACGTGTCCTAGTGCAGCTTGCAACAGTTCTTGGCTTGGTTTTCATTTTGGAGTAGAATCGAGCTGAACTCTGGGATAGATTTTCCTCCTTTCTGTAGCAATGACTGTGACCTGTCGCTGAGCTTCGAGGGAACTCATGTCCTGGCCTGTAACTTCTTGAGTTCTGCTGCATTCATGAACTTTGGGTTTGCGCTGCTCTAAATACAGTCTGCTCCAGGCTCGCTGGCAAGATCAGCATTTCTGCTTCAGAGTCACAGTGTAGGAACAGTTCTAAATGAATTTGTGCCCATTTAAATACTAAGTGTATTTCACTGAGCCTTACGAAGTGCTGTACACAACGAGGATTGGAGCTAAATGATGTGGTAGGTGTTTGGGCACCCATACTGAGCCCTCCAAAATCCAGATGGTGCCTGTGCTATGTTCCTTTGGGATTTGCATGTGTGGTGTCGGAGTTTGTGTGGAGGTCTTGGGGAAGAGGTAACCAAAAAGGTGCTAATTTTGCCTTGGATTATATAACATGGCTAATGAATATTCTCTTGTTTTCAGCTCCAATAGCTGAAATAACCCAGCCTGCTCCTTTCATATGACAGATCAGCTTTGTAAATGCTTATGTGGAGTCATTCACAGTACTTTGAGATTAATTTCATTACAGAACGTGACTCCTTGGTTTCCATTTCTCTAAAGCAAGAGAAGACTGTAAAAAATGAAGTGAATACAGGAGAGATGACTTGGTTATAGCACAGACAGAACTGAAGTGGGGCACAGGGACTGTTGTAGCTGAAATGATAATGCTTTAGTGAAGTACAAATGAATGTCTTATGAATGAGTGCTACAAGGTTAGTCATAGACTTCTTGAGAAGCAGCACAGGGATGCTGAACTTGTGTGTGGTGTTTCTAAGTGCATGTTAACATAGATCCTGTGCTATTGTTGATCTTCTTTTAGGTAGAAACGCACTGCATCTTGCCGCGAAATACGGACATGCTTTATGCTTGCAGAAGCTGTTGCAGGTACTGGAAATACAACTTGTCTGTTGCTTTTGTTCTTGAGAGGGGAAAAAAGGTGCTTTTAATAAATTTCATTACTGAAACGATATTGGGGGGTTGTCTTAGGTGTTTGTGCTCATTTGAATCTTTAGCTTTTAATGTGTTCTCATTTTGTATTTGTATGATGCATGTCTCTGTGCAGATATAAACGGCACATTTTCTGTGGAGTGCCAGAACTAGTCGTGATATTGGTAGTGAAGGAGTAATGACAAGTAGTGGAGAATCTAAGCCATAGATTTTGAAATGTAGGACATCTGAAAGTGTTTATGAAAAGTCAGTGTGGGATTGTGCATTTTCTTTGCATGGTCTTAATTTACTTCTACAACTCTTGATCAATGTGTCGAGAGCACTGAAGTGCATGTACCCGTGGCTTTTTCTGTCATGACTGTCACTGTATTTGTAAACTACAAACACATTTTCTTCAATCACTAGTTAATGCTTTAATTAAAATCTCAAAACTTCTAACGTTTTGGAAGTGCAGTCTGAATCCTAACGGGTAACTGGGGTTGCTTATTTCAACAGTACAACTGTCCAACAGAGAATGTGGATCTGCAAGGAAGAACTGCTCTGCATGATGCAGGTAAAAGGTTTTGCTTTTCTGTTAACTGTAGTGTGAAATCTAGATTGAATTAAGGGATTACTTTTCAGCTGGATCAAATTCTTCTCTTTTCATTTTTGTGACTGTAGTAGGAGAAAATGTTTTATGTTGTCAAGATATTGGTCCTCTAACAAACCTGTTAATAGTCTCAGCAGAGGTTGTAGGTCTGAAAAGCTCTTCTGGTACCCATGAATTGTCTAGAAAAATCTTAAGCAAGTATCCTGAGCAGTGTTTTAGAGCCAGCAGTGTTAGTAGGTTGAGATACCTTTACTGTGGCTTGTCTACATCCTCATATGCATCTTGAGCAGTTGTGTTTGATTTCTTTCATGTGCTGTTGAGGTGGTTGTGTGAGAACTAAGTCAAAGAGCCTTGTCATGCTTTAACTTGGTTGTGTGAATTTTTGTGAAGCAGGTAGACCCAAGGAGGTGGTTGGGGTTTCACAAAGGCTGTTTTCAGCAGTGTAACTTGCTCTTTTCTTTTTCTCTTGAAAGCTATGTCAGACTGTTCCTCGAGCATACAACTACTGTGTGATCACGGGGCCTTGGTGAATTCAAAAGATGGAGTAAGTTGTTGCTAATAAATGTTGCATTCTCCTGCACAAACCTTATTGGAGTCCTTGTGCTTTCCCTCCTTCCCTTATTTCTTCTGCCCTTCCTCTCTTCAGGACGGGAGGACACCGCTAGTGCTGGCCACTCAGATGTGTCGTCCCACCGTTTGTCAGCTTCTGCTAGACAGAGGAGCAGATGTTAATGCCAGGGACAAACAGAACAGGTAATGCATGCAGAGGCTTGCCAGAGTGCCTGCTGACATTTAAAGGGTAATAAAAAGCTGTCACTTGGCTTTCAGGCTACAGACTAAATATGTTAAATTCAGTGGAAAAGAACCTGGGGTTTAGTTCAGAAGTACATGTGCCAGTTCAGTAACGCAGATGAGCATGGCCTTATTTCACTGCTTGTTCTTGCATCCTAAATACAGACAGGCTTGTTGCTGCCAGCAGAGAAACTGCACTTCGTTGTTTTAAGGGTTTGTCTGTCCAAAGCTGCATCTTGCACCCTTTGGGATCAATATGCAGATGGGTCATGACAAAGGTGGTGCTCTTACAGAAAGTACTTGAGAGTCCCATTGGAGCTACAAATGGACCTAAAGGCCTTGAAATGTTTCCTTCTGTGTTCATGGAAAGGGGCCAGGGGAAGGGTTTTCTATTTGTAGCTGCTACTTCTGCCAGTTATTTCTTGGGAGGGTGACTGCCTGGTGGACAGAGGGCTGCTGTGGGACAAAGCATGGGTACTTGCATTGTGTGTTCTGAAGCTGGCAAGTGTTTGGGGCATTGCCAGGGCTCTCGAGCTGAACTTGGCCCACCCTGAACTTTGTCTAAACTTCTTGTCGTGTTTGTTGAGTCTGTTGAGATTTCTATCTAAATAGAGAGGAAGCCAAAGTCACAAGAGTTTAAAACAGTGGGTGGCTCTCCCGCGGGCGGTGGGTTTATGTTGGGTTTCATCAAAATACTGCTATTACAGTGGGTTTGGTTGCTTTTTAACAAATATTTATCCATTGACCAAATAACTTCATAAAGATTAGTTTCCTGTTTTGATAGATTCCTTGACTTAAGCTTCCGCGATTAGACATAAGTGCATGAAGGATTCTTTCTGTGATTGCTCTGTTGAAGCACGAGCTCCCTGAGTCTCTGA